CAGAATTTAGATGGGTAGTTACTGATCTTTCTGGGGTTTTTTGAGGGGGTAGTGTGGGCAGTGTGGGGGACTAAACCCACGGCCTTCCTACTGACCTATATCCTCAGCCTTTTTTTTTTTAAATTTTGAGACAGGGTCTCACTGAATCACTATGTTGCCTAGGCTGGGGTCAAGCTTGTCCTCCTGCCTCAACCCCTGTCCCCAGTGCAGGGATTATGGGCATGTGCTACCACACCCTGCTCCCTGTATTGACTATGTTGTGTGTGCTCATAAATCTACAGACTATATACTCACTACTGAGGGAAAAGATGAACATCCAACCCTAAACATCAGTCATGAGTAGACATATCTTCTCTCAGAAAACCATTCAAGAAGTCTGGTAGGTCCATGACTTTTTATGTGGATGATACTTGTGAAACCTGTGAGACAGTTTATGAAAATCTTTCCATCTTTTTCCTGTACTCATCTCATATTTTGAACTTTTATCACATTAGCAAGATTTCTATCTAACATGAAAGTAAGCTGGAAGTGTATGGAATACTTTAAATTATGTTGGGAGGACTGGAAAATGATGCTGTATAATAGGTCTCAACCGATATATCAACTGATGTAACATCCCACATATGCTAAGACTCAGTACTGACTATGCCGGTGAGCCTTGTGAGTGTGCCCACATGTCAGAATGGAAACATCACTATAGTCATGGCCCATTGCACTCAGGATACCAAGACTTAGTCTCAAACAAAAGCCTTCATCACTGACAGTATGGAAAACTTTAAAAGACACTTAGATTTGCAAACAAAATTGTAGGAAATTAACTTGCTTACTGAGAAATATTCCAATAATTGGGAAAGGTATTTGCTTTCTAAAATTCTACTTTTTCGTCCTAAAAAAAGATTTTGAAAAGTATTATTAGCTTATTGGTCTGTCTAGTCTATTCCCTATAAGTGTATTCTAATTAAACTAGAGTCTAATAAGCTAAAATTCTTTAATAGGTTAATATAAATTTTATATGCTTTTAACTAAAATTAGCATTATTGAGAGATCATCTGGCTATAAGAAACATCTGTTACTTATGATCATAAAATCATACCATGACTATATAGGTGGTTTTAAAATGTGTATAAAGTTAATGACTTGCTTGTTGGATCTATGCATCCATTTGACATCAGGTACCTGGATATAAAACTAAATCCATCCTGGTCCCAACTGCAGTTTGGTGCCACCTGGTGGTAACTGTCCACTGCAACCTCACAATATATGACTGGGAATTCAGCCCAGACCCCAGATTGTAGGTATTTTCTGGTGATTTGGCTTCCATTTCACTGTCTTTAGCTGGGGGTGACCAAGCTAAAGACACTGAGGATGCAAGCAGTCACAGTTCATTTTATCACCTGCTTTCCTACATATGTCACCTGTCATTTCCAAGATAAGAATGTTTACCTGTTCTCCTCTGAGAAAATAATAGGAACCAGTTGTAAGTTGCTTTTTATCAGAACACAAATTATGTAGATGTCATACTGTTGAGGGGATTTAGGTTAATTCTAAATATGAAAAGTTACAGAGAACAAAAGCAAGATTCTGGGGTGTGGTTCCAGGTGATTCTTCCTTGTATACCCAATTTCAATATAATGTTAAGAGAGCAGACTCACAGCCAGCACAATGACTCTCGAGAACTGTGTTGTGTCCTTGGGCATAAATGGCTTTCCACTTATTTTGTGTAAAAAAACCCCACTGGGTTGATACTACAGCTCCCTGCCTGGAGAGACTGCACAGAAGAGACTGTACAGCTTCAACTTAGACTTTTTTGAACATCTTCAAGAGTTACTGACAGAAGAGTTTCTTTGATTGGCAAAGTTGTTATTTTTTAAAAACACTACGAAATTTCTCATGTAGGAAAGTCTAGGAAAAAAATTCTCATAGTCTCACCATCCCCCCAAAATCAAGTTGTTTTTATTTTTTAAAGGAACAGCTAAATGTCTTTCCAAAATTTAAATGGTACTGAGAATAATGAAATAAAATTAGAAAATTTGTTCTCATCTCCTTCTCACTCAAAATCCTTACTGCTAACTATTTTTAGTTTCTTTTTTAGTCTTTCCATTCTATGCATATACTAGAAATGATCTGCATTTTGCATTTTGCTCTCAAAAATATATAGAAAAATCTTTCCATGTCATTACATACACATATATATTCACCTCATTAGCAGAATTACAGAGAGAAAAATTATCCACTGTCTTAGCAAATTTCCACCCAAGAGCAGAGTCTATACAAAGCATATTACTAAGCTGGCACTGCTGGAGCCTTAATGACACAAACTAGGTCCCTTGAAAAACAGAAATGTATTTCTCACAGCTCTGGAGGCTGAGAAGGTCAAGATGAGGGTGAGGCTCAGCTCCTGGTGATGGTGCCTTCCAGATTTGTAGATGGACAGCTCCTCACTGTATCAGCACATTGTGGGGAGAAAGAGGGAAAGCAAGTTCTTTGGTGCCTTTTCTTATAAAGACATTGATCCTATTATGAAGACTCCACCCTTGTGACTTAATTACTTTCTAAAAGCTCCACCTCCAAATACCATCACTTCGGGAGTCAGAGTTTGGGAGTGGGAGGCAAGATCGTTCAGTCCATAGAAAAGTAGATTTTTTTGGAAGTGAGCCCAGGGATTGTGAAGGAGGCACTGAGGAAGTGTGGTAGCCAAGCTCCAAGGTGCTCCAGGATTCCCATCTCCTAGTAGTCACACTTTTATGTGGTTTCCTTCCACCCTGTATCTGGTTTGGACTATGTCACTAATAGCATAGAGAAGTGATGGCATGATGCTTTTGAAATTAATTAGTAGAAGACACTGTGGCTTCCTTCTCACACTGTCCCTTACACTCTCTCTAAAATCACTTACTCTGATTAAAGCCTGCTGACATGTGATGGGCAATAGTCCATTTTGGTGAGAAACTGGGTGTTCCTCCTCACAACACATAAGTGAGTGTAGAATGGCTCTTCTAGCTCCACCCAAGCCTTCCAGTGAATGCAGCCCTGGCTGACATTTGGACTACATCCTTATGGGAGTCCCTGAGCCAGAAACATCCAGCTATGCCGCTTCTGAATTGCTGACCAAAGAAATTGTGAAAATAAAAAATTTGTTTTTTAAAGCCATGAAGTTTTAAATTTGTTAAATGACAATAGATACTTCTATTGTTTGAATATATTCTCCCAAGGTTCATATGCTGCAAACGTAAGTCCCTCATACAGTAGTGATGGGAGGTGAGGCTTAATCAGAGGTGATTATGTTATGGGGGCTCTGCCTCAAAAGTGGATTAATGTCGTTGTGGTGGCAGTGGATTAGTTACTTCAAGAGTGACCTTCTTATAACAGACAGTTCAGTTGCCTTTTTCACTCTGGCTCTCTTGCCCTTCTATCTTCTGCCACAGAAAAATAGCATTAAGCCTTTACCAGGTACTAGAACCTTGATATTGGACTTCCCAGGCTCCAAAACTGTGAGAAATAAATTTCTCTTCTTTAAAAATTACCTGGCCAGTGGTAGTCTGTTACAGCAACACAAAATAGACTAAGACAGATAACTAGTATAAGAAGTCAATCAGGGAAGAAGGGAAAGCCAGTCAAAGGAGACGTTAATCATTTCTATAGTTAACTGGTGCTCCTGCCAGCAGAACTGAGGAGACTTACGAAATCAGAACTGCCATCTAAGGTGTTAAAGGAAGAAGCATTTCCATCTGCCCTGTCCTTTATTGGCCAAGGATGCTTCATGGAGGTTCACTCTCCCAGCACTTCCAGGTTACATATGTATGAATACCAAGTAGGCCCCCATGGGCTTCCCAAGCCTCACCATGAGGTACACACCATGCTGTAAACAAGGCTGTTGGATTGTACCTGTGCAAATATGGCTAACACCTACTCCAAACCATACCTCCAGGAGTAGACAAGAAGTATTTGGCATTCCCATATCCTTTTTTTGTATAAATCTATACTATACTCCACTTTCCATACAGAAATTCCCTTTTAAGTTTTTTTTTTTAAATACTGGAACCAAAAATGACCTTTATTCTTACACTTGATCTTAGCCAAAAGGCCAAGAAGCTATATGACTTTTATTCTTGTAGTAAGTCAAATGCTATTGTTAAGGTTTCTACTAATTCTATATGAATTTATAATTTTTAATAAAGAAATTTAGCTTTCCTTTCAGTTTAAAATCCAATAAATTAATAAAAGGTCATATATTTTAGCTGATAGAATCAAAGGGAATGAAGACAATTTCTACACTGTTAATCCATATCTCTCAGAAGTCTGTGATTAGGTAAAGCAAGAAAAATTTAGCACTCTGGGGGGCCACTATGAACTGAGATGAATCACTACTTCCTCTTGCAAATCAGAAATTGCAGCTAAATTCAGCTGTGAAGGATGTTGAAATGTTGGTTATTTCTTTCTTTTAGTTTTGAATCTTATACTAGTTTTCTTTGACTACATGACTTTTGAAAATTAACTGCACCTTTGATGTTGGCCTTAAACATACAGTGGCATTTCATCTGAATCAGGGAAATTAGTATGCTTCTCAAATGGAACACTCTGACTTTGTGAATCTTTCTTTTCCGAAATTAGATGAAGAAATATGTTGGCAGAAATGACCTTCAAAAGAAAGGCAGTGACTCAACTTCTGAAGTAGAAGCAGGTTCTCAGGCTGCAGAGAGCTGGGTGGGCAGAGAGAATTCATTTCAGTAGAATACAGGAAGCTATTTAATGCTGCTTATGAGTCAAAAGAGAGAAGAATCACTTATGAAGGAACTAACTACATCTACATGTGGATGCTTTAATATGTATGTATAAAACATGTATGTGTGTACTTTTGTTCATCTCTATTCTATGCTTTGCTTCACTAGGAAATCCTACCCCCATCCCACCTCTGGTGTTTGAGTTCCATAGTAATGAGTCACTGCCACCCAAAGCTTTGAAAGGAAGGACTTTCTAGGTCAGAGGTTTTTCTTTTCTTTTTAATATTACTACATATTTTTCTTTATTAAGTACCTTTAATGCAATGCCAGCGGCAAAATTGGGATTGGAGTCAAACTTGCTCTCATCTTTTTACCACACTGCACTTCCTCGGAACCTTCCTTTGCCTTTGCTGTGTTCTAAGGCCGTAGAAGTGGTAAGTCACTAGCTCTCTCTGTCATTTTTTTTTTCTTCTGATAAATGAGGTATTTGGAACATACTTAAAATTTAGTTTAGTTCCAACATTCTAAGAGCCTTCATTAGAGTGACCAAGTACACTGGTTATTTTATTTCATTTCATTTTACTTTATTTTTAAATTTATACCAGGGTCATTCAAGGTCTCATCACTGCAAATGAAAATATTAAATAATATTCATAAGCCATGTTTGAATCCACCACATCAGAGAAGGAGTTGGGGACTCCTAGACTCCTCTTTTTCCTTTGGGAGGAAAAGGAAATTGGCAAACATTTTGAAAAAACTGGATACTATCCCAACATCCTTAGAGTCAGCACTGTGTCTATAAATTGTAACATCTTAACTGATAAAACGTGCTTCTTCATGCAAAAGGTGGGTAATATTTTGAGACTTTTCAGTTATTTTCATTGAGAGTGGTTTTTTACAGGATCAAAAAATAATGTTTCCACATACCACTATTACTTTAGTGGGACTTTAAATGCAATTGTGCTTTCCACCCTGGAAGAGAGAACTCAACTTTCAAGAGGCATCACTGTGATAGTTTGTTCTTTCTTATACCAGTTGGTATGAAGTTCTTCACAAAAACAAAAGACAAAACTTTCTGATTAGTTCCATTACTTTTGGTCTATTAGTCAACCTAGATATTTTAAAAATCCATTTCGATAATCAAATTAATAGAAAATGTGATAATTTGATAATTTCTCTTTGATAAATCAGTGGTAAAATTTGAAAAAAAGAAAATGTCAACAAAGTGAAAATACAGGAACAAATGAATGCAAAGATTACTACTCAAAGTTCTGATAATGATACTACTAGCCTTGCTGAGGCTGAAAACAATAAAGAATCAAGCTTTGTATGAAATTTTGTTTTGCAGTTACTTTCTATCTTGATACTAGAAGCCAGGATTCAGTGTTAAGTTATGAGAACAATTTGGCTCAAAATGAATCGGAATCAAAACTTTTTGCTGAACACATATCAATTGGATTAAAATAGTTAGAATAATGACTTTATGTACTAAAAATCTCTTCCTTCCAGATAAAATCAAGACAGCTTCTATGACAACTAGTCTTCTAGTTCTAGACCTTTAGTCTTCTATTAGGATTAAAATTAGGATTTAACTAGATCCAAATACAGAAGAAATTGGAGATGCTCATTTTATTTGAATTAGTTCTAAAGTAATTCTGCAACACAGAGCAAAGGAAGATCAGCCACAAAATAAAAACACAATTACCACTATAATTGCTACTACATTTTCTTCTACCTCAACTAATAAATACAATTTTTTGTGCCCAACAATGTGTCAGGCACTATGAGTAATGAAGTATTGTTTCTTTGTAGTTCCAAGTGTTCACTCTCTTTCGGTTCTTTGTGTCCTGATTTGTGCTTCTGAAGGTATTTACAAATTAGTGTAGAATTCACATCAGATGTACATAGCTAGTGAATAGTTTGGAATGTTAAACAATCCATATTCATCTGAAGTTTGTCTATATCAGGTCTAGAAATATCATCTGTGGAAGGAACACTTAATTTTTACATTAAGCAACTAGATGGAAAGTGGGCTCTAAAACCATGGAAGTTTTTTAGTAAAACAAAATTAAATTAAAATTTTTAATAGTATATAAGTTTTTATTTGAATTTTTGATGTTCATTAACTTTTTTACATTTTAATTCTCATTTTGAATATTAGAAGAAAACTAACATGAAAATATTTCTAATATTTTGATTTTTTACTCTTATTTTTATATTTGTATAAAATGTATTAAAATATTTGTATGCTATGAATTCAATTGTATTTACTTTTTATCATTTAGATCTTGTTAGCAATAAAACTTGTGAAAGGGATTTGATAACAAGAAAAAAATTAATACTTTTACTGAAAAGAAGATTTTTGCTTTGTTTTTGTTTTTGGTACTGGGGATTAAACTCGGGACCTTGTGCTTGCAAGTCAGGCACCGGAACCACTGAACTAAATCCTCGGCTCTGAAATGAATATTTTTAAATATATGGAATGCAAAATTATTTAAATTTGAACCTTTATTATTTATTCAGAATCTTCAGTCAACATGATACTATACTTATGTCAATTCATGATTAAAATTCATAATTCATAATTCATACTTTACCAATAAACTATAACTTACACATTTTTAAAAATGTTATTGTGATGGAAGCATTATTTGTTCGGTTGAAAATATAGATTATATTTTATTTAATGGTTATTTACAGCTTTAAATATTTAGACTTACAGTAAGTTGATCTCCATTTGTATTCTTGCCCAATGCCTTGAAAGTTTCTGGAGGTGGTCCTAGAAGGAGGTATTTCCACCCCTGTAATGTCTCCAAATCCTAAACCTTAGTATGGGAGGCAAATCTCAGAGAACCTTCTCTTGGGTAGAACCCCTTCTTGTGAAGATGGGAACCCTGATGATTAGTTGTGACTTGATCCCAAACTCATAAGATGCCTGTGGAGGGCTAGGAATCAAGCTCCCTGAAGCAGCCAGAGCAGTGTGTTTCTTGAGCCCACTGAAGAACTAGGTTCTCTCTTCCAATAGGCTGGCAAGTCTTAGACAGAAGGCATGGGCCAAATAGCTGATTGTGTAAGGTCACCTGGTTCTGATAGCTCACACTGGCAGCAGGCTGCTACCAGAGGCCCTCTTCAGTTGCTAATTCTCTCTCTAATCTATGTATCTGTAACAAAGCATTGCTTTTGTAAGTGTACCGATATTGGCTAATTTCAAAAGGGCTGATGCCAAAGGGGGAGGTCAACCCTACAGAAATTCGATACCTATCAGATGCCAAAGCAGTACCTTCAAGAGAGCAGCAAGGAGAACCCAGGAGATTAGTTGGAGAGGACTGCCTGAAAAGGGCAGTGGGCTTAGATAAAAGAGATAGAATCATAGTAACCTCATAAGGAAGGGATGGTGGGGGTGGGGGATGAAATCTCATTCACTTACATCCTTCTGATCCCCAACCAGGGCTCCCTATGGTAAAATCCAGCTGGATCCAGAGGGCATAGAGAACTTGATGTGATCCTTAGAAGTTAGACTTCCAGGGCCAAAAGTAGGTGAAAAGTAGAAATGGATTTGGAAGGGCACATGGATGATATTTGGCTCAGAGAATATGACTTTTCATCACGTGACTTTTACCTTTTGATTGTCTTGGTAACCAGACTAAGTACCAAGAAGCCCTTGAGTTGGGGGAATAAGTATTACCTAATACCTGAATAAGCAAGGCCAATGCTCAGTGGCCTTGTGTTTTGGATTTAAAAAATAAAAATAGCCAGGGATGTAGCTCAGTGGCACCATGCCTGTCTTGCAAGTGCAAGGTCCTGAGTTCAATCCTCAATACCAAAAAATAAAAATAAAATAAAATAAAAATAAAACAAGCAAGATCTATTTCTAAGACTTTTCAGGTGCCTGAGACCAAATGCTTCCAACAAATGTACTAGAGCAGAATTTTCTGAGTCCAGGTCTATGTAGGATTTGATTTTTGTTTCTGCCCAGTTAGGGCACTCACTAATCCACTTTCCCTTACATGGAGATATAGTGACTTTGGGACTTATGCCTGTACGGTTGTCACTAGGGTGTCTGGTTAGGCCCCAGTTCTAGGAGGATGGCCTGGTAAGATACTCTTAGCTGACTAATCTATTTCTCTTTTGGATTCACAAGAAATTGGACTGTTCTTGTGGTACTGGCACACTAATCTGAAGGACCTCTGACTCAGGGCAGAACAAGATAAATTTGGATCTCTGGTCTACTGTAGACCCTCAGCCTTCAGCTGTATTATGAACCCATGGCTTAAGTCTAACCTATTAAAGTTCCAACTAGGATATCATCTCTTGACTGTACTACCTGAGAGTGGTGGAGGTACCAGAAGGCATTGCTCTGTGAAAGGATGATGTGGTACTCAAAGTGGTCACCCAATCCCACTTTGCAATCTGCATGTCACGTGTGGTGGAGTGTCTCAGAGCAGGTGGCCAAAACCTGTTAGTCTTAATACATTCAAGACCAGCACACTGTGATGCCAAAGAACCCTTCCACCGTGTATTTTCTCTGGTGGATTGATACAGTGGTATACTCTCTGGTCTGTCTTAAACCATGTCAGGTAAAGGTAGACATTCCTTACACAAATGTGATGTCCCTTCTCACTCCATTCCCTGGTTCTCTTGCCTTCATTTTCATTTGCAGAAGTCTGTGGAAGGCAAGAGGACAAGTGACACTGAAAGAGAGAGCATTTCAACAATAGTGATTATGGCCTGAGCTAGAGCATCCTAAGAACACAGTGATTAGAGTCCAACAGTTAAGAAAAGACAATAGGAAGAAGATGTGTTGTTGCTATGCAGTGCTGTATGGTAGACTTAACATGACCATAAAGCAATTATTCATATTTTCCTGCATAGATCCACCAAGACTTGCATTTGTAGGTCCATATCACCATAGCATAGAATCAAATTTACTGAACATTAGTGAAAGGCACTATCTGGTCATGGTATATCACATAGCCAGAAATAATAAAGTAGCCTAAAATTACATAAGCCACACTGGGGAACAACAGAAGCAAGAAGAGCTGTGTTTTGCTGATTAAAAACAAGTTCTAAAGATCCATGACATTGTGAATGAAAACAGCATTGTTATCATTTGCTTCTGATAATGATATAGGGGGAATGGATGTAATTCCCAAACCTGCTAAATATCTGAAACATGAGTTTGTGTTCTCTAAAATTGAAGAATGAATTCTAGGAACAACAGAGGCTAGGAGTAGGAAAAATTTATTGAGAGAAAGAAAGCTTCTGTCTAAGAGAGACAGAAGGGGGACTAGAAAGGGGATTGTCCAGGACCCTAATTCCCAGGAGGTTTTTATGGAGAAAAGCCACGGGGTGACGTGGGTGAAAAGTGGGACAAAACTATAAGACCCAATGGAAATTACAAGGTGGATATGAGGTGGGACAAAACCATGACCAACCAATAAGATTATGACTACGGTCACTCAGATAATGATTAAATGTGGATGGAATGGGAAAACAAGTCGCATACAAGAAATTTTCCATTTAGAATATCAATCACTAGGGGAAGTAGTACCTCTTTTCTTTTTTAAAATGCTAACCAGTCAATGTGCCTCAGTTATTCTCCATGTTGTCGCCTCACTGTGTTGGCTTCTTGAGGGCTGGGCCCTTGAGAGCTGGTGCCTTGAGGGGGGGCCCTGTCTAACTGCCTACAAGATATCTAATTAACTGACCTATCTACCATAGTAAGAGATACAAAATTAGCCAAAAACTACCCATTGGTCAATAAAGAACATGATCTGAGTAGAAAGAAATGATGTCTGGACACCACAAAAAATCTCCAGTGGACAGACTAGACAGTGGACAAATTCTAAG